CCAAATTTTTTCTTTTTTTTTTTTTTTTTTCCCCCCTTTCCCCCCCCCCCCCCCCCCGGGGGGGGGGGGGGGGGAAGAATGAGTAAGTGGCTGTGTGGTGCTTAGTTACCAGCTGGGGTTAAACCACAACAGTTACCTCTTCCTATATAGTTTCTATAACGATTTTTTTGAATACAAGAACAATAATCTTTAAAACAATTATAGTTTCCAAACACAGGGAAGCATCTTTAACAAAAGTGTAAGTCCTAAAATTAGATACTGCTTTTGGTATTACTGGGATCAACATCACTTTTAAATAAAGAGAAAACTAGTGGTCCTATCTTGCATTTCAGTTATGAAACTATTTGTTACTACCTGAATTTGGAATCCTTTTGATTTTAGAGTAGCACCACATATTTCTGAAGGATGAACACGAAGAATGAAAAAAAAAAGCCTTAAGTCAGATTTGTAACTGTCTTCTATTCAGTGATTAAACAGTATCTGAGGTTATAACAATACCAGCAATGGATAAAAATGCTTTCATTTTTCAGGAGTGGACGTTTTTCTTGTGAGCCGGCTGGTGGCCTTACTTCTCTGACTGAACCACCCAAAGGACCAGGTTTTGGAGTTCGAGCTGACCTCTAAGGATTTTTGTAATATAGTATGAACTGTCTGAAAAATAATAAAGTGACTTTAATCTCAGTAAAATGATGAACATTCTAATACTTTTCTAAAAAATGAAGGAAGCAACAGCAGTTAGATATTCTAACTTAACCACTGTTTTAACTACTGCAAAGCATAATTCTAGATCTTAAGAAAAGTAATTCTGTAAAGTGACTCACTGGAGAAGCAACAAAACTGACTGAATTACAAGTCTGGCAAATGCACAAGGAAACAAACTGAAAGGAGATTATCTGACAAAACTTTATAGCATGTTACTTTTAACTGCAATTAAACAACAAACAAACACGAAAGGTGATCCAAGCTGTGTTGTGTAAAAAATCTGGTCGGTTCAGTAAGTGGTTCTTCTTGAGTCTAACTCTCTTTACTACCATTCCGTGACCAGGAAAAATGTGAAAAATATCTTTTTATCATGTTCCAAAAAAACCCAAGCCTGACCCAAATGGCGGGAGTACTCCACTAAAAGTGAACAGCAACAAGAAACCACTTCCTGTACAAATTTATGCAATACAGCCAAGGTATGCAGTTGGGGGAAAACAGAATATACCACAACAGTTTAATACATGGCTAAGTGCAATATGTGAAACTAGTTATTTGATTGACACATCTTTCTTTGACCTTACTGCAGTGTATCGGCTACTTTTAAAATCTGTGTGAAATTGAGGTATTTCTCCTAACAGAAAGAAGTTGAAGATAATTTAAAAAAAAACAACCTGCGTATTCACACTTAATACATATGCTTGTAAAATATGGTAAATGCTTCATATATATACACATACATGCATTTCAATGTAAACTAGGAAATGTGAACATGTCAGTCACCTGAGACCATATTGTGTCTGCCTCTTCAAAAATCTGCTGTGGAACTTACATTCTTACCACAATTAATGTGATAGACGGAGCTTAATTGTATTATTTATATTGTATTCTATATTTAGTTTGTTTTGATATTCTGATTAACAGTACTTCCTTAAACTAACCTCCCTCTTCTGAGTCAAATTTTGTATCTACAGATTTCCCTGCATAATGATTATCTCATAGAGTTTGTTTGTGCCCCACCTTTATTTCAGTAGGCTCTCTGAAGTTCCTTGATGTATTGTTAAACAAGTAGTGTTACTGTTGGTAGTTCCAAGAGCAAGATAAATATGTATATCATTTGCCTGTAAAACTTGCTATCCCTTCTACATTACTAAATTTATAAAATGAAATCATTGAATTGCATACAAATGGCAAAGTAAATTGATAAATAAATACAAGTCATGAGTGAAGCAGTCACCCAATAAGCATGAAATAAATCTTCTATATAAGTGCTATGGAACACTATGCATATGAGAAAATAGTACATGGATTGAAATACCTGTAATTGAAAGTTGCTGAATGCTCTTCTGAAAGGTCACTCCAGTATTTCTAATAGCCACACACCTTGTAGCAGGCCAGGCATCTGGTGCTATGTGGCACTTCTCTAGAGACATGAGATAGCATATTACATTTTGATGCAGAGAGACTCATTTTAATATACCAGTCTGTAACTAAGCTGTTTGCTTCACTATAACAACAAAGCCGTATTCTAGTTTGTATAGGATTACCTCATTCTAACCTAGTATGAAAGCAGGCAACTGTTTTTAAATTATACATTGAATATAAATGAGGATTTTGCATGCATTGTGGAACTATCATGTGCTACAATTATTCACTTTTTTATGTAACTCTGATAGGATTGCATAATTGTCTTGAAGGGAAACATGATTTTAGACCTGCCACATTTGAAACTTTGAGGCATACAAAAACAAAGCTCCTCTCATTCATAAACCTGGACAGGAGGATTTGTTGCCTTGTCCCACTTTTTTCCCCATTCATTCCATCTGTACATGAAAATCTTGCTGTCTGTCTCATGAGCAGAACATGGATCTCAACAATTTCCCATTTGTTGGAGATTGTTAGTGATGTTCCACAATTATGTCAGTCATTTTGATGCAACACGTAACAGTCTGCCAATCACTTGACTAGAAAAGGGTAACTGACGTTATCGTTATTGCATGATACAAATCTGATACACCACTGTTTAAGTTGAATATTGTAGGCAGCTATAGAACTGAAATATTTTGAAGAGAAATAAGCAACTAACCATTACTTTTCTCTCTCATCTTACCCACTTCATTCATCAATTATATGAGGCTTTATGGTCCTGGGTTTTACATCAAAAAAGTTTGGCAATCATTTTATTAAGATAAATGATTAATGAAAAAATTCACATCTTCTGTTACTTCAGGTTTTGTGCAAATTTGAACATTTCAAACTTCAAACATCTCAACTAGAAATACAGATTCTGCACTATTTGTTACATGTAGTTGTTTACTATATACAAAGTTATTTTCACAATGATAATCCTCATCACAGTCCTGCTTAAGTTAACAAGGTGATCATTATGGAAGAGTTCCAGAATAGTGTAAGAATTAATATATCCAAGTTCTCTTTTCTGTTCTTGAATAGCTGCAGATACTACCCTGTGCTTGCTTTTACTGGTAGTATTGAATATTTTAGATAACAAATATTAACAGGACATAATTTCCATTATTCTCAATCCTCAATAGCAGAGGGTTACTAATAGTAATTCTGGGCAGCTGACACTAACCTGTCAAATAATTAAACACTTAAAATTCTGCAGTTTCAATCTACTGGTTAGTATCTTGGATTGTAAGAGTACCAGGTGGCAAGTTAAATGAAAAATGAGTTAACTATAGCAACAGTCAACACATTCCTTAAACTGGGAAGGCAGCAGTAACAGAACCAATGATGTGGTTTTGGTGGTCTTCGTTTGCCCCTCTCCCTGAATGAGAGAAAAATGAAAGAATTCACATGCTATATTAATTCTCCAAATGTAAAAGCAGAAGAAAAATAGGTAAAAGAACACCCTTTCACTGGGGAGGAATAGAAGACTACCTAGAGAAGATTTTAAGAAAAATAGCTAAAGTCTTGGGAAAGGAAGTGAGATTTACAACATGGAAGCAGAAGACACACAAAGAATCCACTGGACTGAGTGTGTGAGTGGTGGCTGTTCTTTGGTAAAGATGGAAGAAAATCTACAGTAATGAGAAACTCCACTAGATAGCCAATGATGTGTTCAATGTTGCATAACAGAAAGGATTTCTGTGACTTCCACACACCACTAGAAAAATGTTATCTGGAACC